AAAAATGACAAAAACAAACTTTGGGGAATAAATGCTCACTGGGATAAAGGCGTAAATGAGGATTCTCCCAGGATATAAGGGTATTCGGTCACCTCAGCCAGAACTGACGAGGTAAGGTGGGGACGAAGCTAGTCGGACTGGTAGGGATTTTTTATGAAAGTATAGGCTGCATGTGAATTAGCGAAGTAGTGAATTAGTGAACTGCGAATTAATAGGTTCTGTTTTGAGAACGCAAGCTGAGCTTCTGCCCTTAAAGCATCATGATTAAATTTTTTTTAAGAGAGATACTTTTGCTATAGAGCATGTGCATTCGCCAGAGGGACAGAAAGTGAGAAATCACTCCCGAGGGGAGATGGCCACGCCGCAATCCCTTCTCCTCCATTCTCCTCCTGGGATCTTGGGCATGCACACACGCACCCACTCTTGGTGTGAGTTTTAAGCGGCTGGGTCCAGGACTCCAGCCACAGTTGGCCATGTGGAAATCCAGCAACATCACCATTACACCACCTACTGTTTCCATCATGCCTAATTTTACTCTGCCTTAAGGAAATACGATAGAGATGACCCAGAGGAGCACAGTAACATGATCAAGAGATGTGCCTTCCAGGACCAGCAGATGGTGTGATGTTTATGTCGCTGGGCTCCCATGTAGTCGACTGCGGTTTGAGTCCCAGACCTGGCAGCTTAAAACTCACATTAGAAGCATGTGCGTGCATTCCCAGAATCCTGAGAAGAGACTGGAGGAGAAAGGGTTGTGGTGTGGCCATTCCCCCCAGGGGGTGATTTCTCACTTTCTGTCTCTCTGCTTCTCCAGTGAGCACATACACCCTATAGCAAAAATCTCTCAAAAAAGAGTGTGGCTCCTAGCATTTTGGCCATATGGCATCTTTGAGAATTGGATGAAAACTCTTAACTCTTCCTGAAGAAAAGTGTACACACAGATAGCCCCTGTGACCTGGCCTGCGACTTGCCTGGAGCCCTCAGTCTGAATCCCTGGCCAAGAACACAATGTATGGGTGAAGGGAAAAAGGAATCCATGTTTATTGATCATCGTTTTTTTTTTTTTTTCCTGCCAGAGAGTGTGTGCACATGCCAGAGAGTCAGGGAGAGGGAGAGAGAAAGCATTCCCCATTGGGGGTCTAGGGAATGATTATGCTTCTCCTTTATTTCTCCATCCTGTGGGGATTTGGGGCACACTCAATCAGCGTGTTACTCAACCGATTGGGGCTGGGATTTGAACTGCTGTTGGCCATGAGGGATCTGGCTCCCTTTACCAATAGGCCATGGGACTGTCCCATTGAGCCATCTTCACAAACATTTCATTTTATACTCATATCAATCTATTTTACAGGTAAGGAACTGGAATTCAGAGAAATTAAGATCTCTCAGCTAGTTAAGTGGAAAAAGTAAACTTCAAATTCAGGTCTATGTGTGGGACCAGCAGTTAGCGTAATGGCTATGTCGCTGGACTCACACATAGTTGACCGCAGTTCAAGTCCCGGATCTGGTGGCTTAAACTCACGCCGGGCACGTGTGCATGCATGCCCAAGATCCCGAGAAGAGAATGGAGGAGAAAGGATTGCAGAGTAGCCATCCCTCCTGGGGGGGGTGATATCTTGCTTTCTATCTCTCTGTCTCTCTCTGTCTGGTGAGCGCATGCATGTGCCCTATAGCAAAAACTTCTCCCCCCACCCCAAAAAAATTCAGGTTTATGTGTCACTGAACCTTATAATCTAAGCCATGCTTAGACATAAAAACTTACATATGTATATATCTATCACTTATATATTTTTGTAATCTAGAAAAGGATAATATACAATCATGAAAAATGAACTCAAGCACAAATTGTTATCAAAGTTTTACAACTAGAGGTGGGAGTACCTCTTGAAATTAGACAGACTATTAGGGCAAATAAAAGTAAATTTTTAAAAAATGAATTTCTAAAATATTTAAAATGATAATACAGTTAGTTGACAGATAGTCCCAAGGTTTCTATAAATCCAAGATTGATAGACTGTGAATGGATTTCTTTTTTCTCACATAGGGTGAATGCGCTTGCCAGGGAGAGAGACAGAGAGAGGGAAAGTGAGAAAGTACTCCCTGGGAGAAGACCACGCTGCAATCTCCTCTCTTCTGTTCTCCTCTTGGGATTTTTGGCATGCACACACACACACACAGAGCATGATTTTCAAGTTGCCGCGTCTTAGACTAGAACCACATTGGCCATGTGGGAGTCCAGTGGTTTAATCACCACACCAACTGTTGGCCCTGTGAATAAATTTTTAAAAAGACTTTTAGGAGACCAGCAGTTGGTATAATGGCTGTGTCGTTGTACTCTGATGTAGTCGACTGCGATTCGTGTCCCGGACCCGGTGGCTTAAACTCATGCCGGGCACGTGTGCGTGTGTGCCCAAGATCCCAAAAGGAGAATGGAGGAGAAGGGACTGTGACATGGCCATCCCTCAGGGTGTGATTTCTCACTTTCTGTCTCTCTGTCTCTTTCTTTCCGGTGAGTACATGCGCCCTATAGCAAAAACCTCTCCAATAAATAAATAAATAAATAAATAAAAAGATTTTAGGGTTTCATTGAATCTCTGGGTTAAATTGCCTTGAAGCAAACACAGTTATCTTGAAGCCACATCTGTCTGATGTGGTCAATCAGAGTTGACCACGGATGGGATAATGGCTTAGGCAATGTGACATTTCCAACCAAAGTGTTGTTTCTTGTGTTACTAATGAGCTTGTTACCCTTTTGGTAACTTCTGCTTATTGGTTCCTAAAATACCTGATAGTATTTTGAAGCTGACATGCCCTTATGAGATTTAGAGTCCAGCTTCCCTGAGAATATCATGAATCGTGTCTGGACATACTGAAGTGATGCTTAATGCATAGGGATGCTCAACATAGGCCATGCTATCTCATTCCTGGTTTGCACTTAGAACTGCTGCTTGACGAATTCCTGACCTCGACTGTGGTTCCGAATATGGTCCTTCTTTGTGCAAGGCTACGTCATTCCAATTGTGGCTTTCCTGTGATTATTTCTTGTTTTTTCATTATTGTGTCTCCTCCCTTCTCAGACCATAACAGACCATAAGTACTCACAGTTGTTATCGCCAGTGTCTGGCTGTGTTGTCTCAGGGCAGACATCTGATCACACGTGTCACCTAGCAATGTGAGTGACTACGATAGGAATTGAGATGATAAGTCATTTTTTTTTCTTCAATTTGCTACATGGCCTGTGCATTTGCCAGAGAGAGGGAGAGAGGGAAAGTTAGAAAGCGCCCCCTCGGGGATGGCCATGCCACAATCACATCTCCATTCTCCTCTTGGGATTTTGTGCCCTCACGCACTCAAGGAGGTGTGTTCTTCAAGTTGCCGGGTCCAGGACTCAAAACAGGCAGTCACCCATGTGGGATCCAGCCATCTTAACCACTATGCCCCTGGGCTGCCCATCTATATAATTTTCTTTTCAATAATTGCATCATCTCAGTAAGACAACACATGTTCATGAGCAATTACTCCCAGACTCTCCCACCCAACCCTTGGCAAACCACGACTCTACTTTCAATTTCTATAGATTTCCTCGTTCTCAACTTTCATATCAATAGAATGATACAAGCTGTGGTTTATTCGGCCTGTCTTCTTTCACTTAATATAATGTTTCCAGAGTTCTTCCAAGTTGTTTCATGAACGAGTACTTCATTCCTTTTCATGGCTGAATGATATTTCACGGTATGGGCACAACCCATTTTGTTTTACCCCTTTTACATTCGCTAAGATTTTTTTTTTTTTTTGAGAGGTTTTTGCTATAGGGCATGTGCGCTCGCCAGAAAGACAGAGAGAGACAGAGAGACAGAAAGCGAGAAATCATCCCCCAGTGGGGATGGCCATGCCACAATCCCTTCGCGTCCCGGACCCGGTGGCTTAAAACTCATGCCGGGCGCGTGTGCGTACGTGCCCAAGATCCCGAGAGGAGAATGGAGGAGAAGGGATTGCGGAGTGACCATCTCCCCTGGGGGGTGATTTCTCGCTTTCTGTCTCTATGTCTCTCTCTGTCTGTCTGGCGAGCGCACGCGCCCTATAGGGAAAATCTCTCAAAAAAAATCCTTCTCCTCCATTCTTCTTTGGAATTTTGGGCACATAGGCATACACCCAGTGTGAGTTTTAAGTTGCCAGGTCCCGGACTCGAACCTCAGTCAGTATGTGAGACTCCAGCAGCTAACCATTATGCCAACTGCTGCTCCCACTTCTGATGGTTTTCAACAGACACCTGTTGCCTGAGGTAGGATCGTGCTTACCTCTCACTTCTCTGCCCAGTCCTCTGCTCACTGCATGCCCAATTTCTCCACCACCAAAAGGTAAGGAAAGAAAAACAGATGAGGAGGACAGGACAGGACAGGAAAAAGAGAAGGAGAAGGAAAGCGAAAAGGAAAAGGAAAAGGCCTTCTTTTCCAAGAAATTCAGGTACAAAGAGAGGTAGGGAAATGATATTTTTGGCTTTCCTCACAATCCAGACGGAGGAAAGATAAAGGATTTCCTCTGGGCTGCTGCCAGGATTTGGTTCTTTTATGTTGATAAAATATTTCCTCCTTCTTAAAAAAATCATAAAAAAAAAAAAAAAAAAAAAAAAAGAAAAAAAGAAAAAAAGTTCTGGGAAAATCATGCTACTATAGCTTGGAAGTTAAATCTATTTTAACTTTCGCAAAAATAATAAATAAATAAATAAATAAAGCAAAAAGTGGGAGGCCTGTTCTCGTTCTCCGAGGGCTTTCTCCCTCGCAGCTGAGGTCCCGCTCCGGGAGCGCGCGGGTCTGAGCGTTCCCGGCGGCGGGCGGCGGGCGGGAACTACAGGATCCAGAGGGCTTTGGAATCTCCGAGCTGATGGGCTGCTCGGCTTTCCCTGAGGCGTGACGCTGCGAAAGCAAGCCCGGATTGGCCAGGCCGGAGCTGAATTCTCCATTTATGGACAGACTGCCTGGCCCAGCCGAGGCTCAGCCTGAGGAGTCCGGGCTAAGTGCTGGAAGAAAGAACGGCGGGGCAGCCGCGCTGGGAGGACGCGCCGAGTGCGGGCTCTCCTCGGCGGGCGGCGTGCAGGATTGGCGGACCCCTGCCCTTCGCAGCATGCGCCGCGCCTGCTAGCTCTCCCGGGGCTCGCCCTCACCTAGCGCCGCCGGTCCCGCCTGGATGGAGTCCCCCCTGGGTTCCCATTGGCTCCTGTGAGTGCTTGGGTGTCGGGAGCCTGTTTTTGGCGAGGGGAACCAACTTTTGAAGTTCGCCCAGGAGACTGCGTTCCAGCCCCAGCTCCCCGGCAGCCGGACCAGGCGGAGGCGCGACCGCGGCGCGAGTCACCATGGTGAGTTGGCCGCGCCGCGTCCCCGGACGCCTGACCCTGCGGTGGGGCAGCCAGCCCCGGCGCGGGGCACCCACCTTGGGCGCGCTGCCCAGACCAGGGGTGGAGAGGTGGACGCCGGAGTCGGCACGTCGCGATCTCTGATTTCCTGCCGCTTGCCGTCCACCGGGACAGGGGGAGAGGGAGAGGGATCGCGGGGCCAAGGAAAACTTTCTTTCAAGTCGCTTTCTGCCTCGCGAAACTTTTCGTGGCCGGGTTGCTATGGCTGCCAAGCTGTCGGAAGCCAGAGTGTGGGCACATCTGTTTTCAGAGGCTCGGCCGTCGGAGGGGATCCTTTTCTTCCCGCTGGGAAGGTGGGGACAGCTCCCTGAGCCCCCAGGATCCTGGCAGTCCAGGCTGCCGGCCGGCGGCGCCCC